CTAACACGGCCAGGGTTTTCTGCCTGGGACAAGAACATCCTTATTATTTAGAATAATATATAATTTTGCAAACAGTAAATTTTATAAAATGACTATATAATAGATATACATGATAAAACCGAAGTGGGGACTAACTACAGAATAAAAACGGATACATTACATAAAACAACTTAATCCAACACATAAAAATACACAGCCGAGTTAGCCAAAGCCTAAACGCACAAAGTGACGTCACATTTGAAATTCTAAAAAAACACACAAAGTGACGTCACATTTGAATTTGTAAAAATATTTCCCAAAAATAAGATAGAATTAGGATTGATTCAAGATTAGATCTGTAAAACTGAAATTACATTTATTAATAACAATGAAAATTACAATACTATTAATATCAAATTGTGGTAGTAATTAGATAATTAATTGTATTATCTAGCTATGTCGGTATTTCTTCTGAATCAAACTGTAAACCAAATATATCGTATAAATTTCGTTGAACCAAACTAAAATCTAATAAATGAAGGGGGTGATTAATTATCTTTACCATAACACACGAATATAACAGAAAAGACGTTAAGACATATGACAAAATCCGACGAGAATAACAAATATAACATCAAAATTAAATACATGAATTTGGGATAGAAAAGTACCGTGACACGTCTTATAGCAATGCGGTTTCACACTCAGCAAAACAGTCACAATCGGGAATAAGTCACGTTCGGTAATTAAAGATCAGACGACGTAATGACAAACCACATTCTAACACGTGGTACACATGTCATTAGTTAGTTTGGACACGGACACATCGTATGGATCAATCAATTCGTGATGGTGTCCGTAAAATTTACGGAGTGTCATTTTTAATCTGTCCTCCTCATAACTTTGTTGGAGCAGTTTCTGCGTAAGGAGCACACTCCTGTATATGAAGTCCGTATAGTGTGAACAAGCACGAGAATAACGTATCAAATGAGATATGTAAACACCATACGAAGGGGCAGAGGGTATGTTACTGCTGAGAAATGGGAAATTGATAATTGGGAAGTTGAAATCGTCCCGTTTATCATAGATTTTCGTGTGAAGTCGTCCATCTGTGTCAATATTGAGGAAAAGATCAAGGTATGAAGCAGTCCTTCTAGTATCAGTAGTATCCTTAATTTCAAGTTCACTGGGATATATGAGATGTAAGTATTGGCTGAAATATGGGTTATTTATTGATAGAACATCATCAATATACCTTGCTGTCCCCCCAATCAATGTTGTTTAAAATAAATGATTATCTGAAACCCATAGAAATTACATGAAAGATATGAAACCTACAAAACTCTTCAAATCAAACTTGTCATCATCATCAAAATACTGTTTTCTCTCTCCTATTCCACCACGGTATCAACCTGCCAAAGAAATACAAGTATACATTATCCTTAAAAATCAAAGTTTGAGAACCACAAAATACTTACTATAATTTATGAAAGCTATATAAAGGTTTAAGACAGGCGCCAAGGGTAATATTGCTGTTAAATAACACTGGTCTTGATTTAAATGGGAGCTTTAATATAAACTGATTGCTACTAAAATCAACAAGGAGTTGCAATCAATGTCATGCAGATAAATAATGAAAAATTCCATGCTGAGTAAGTATAAAAAAAAATTGAAAATATCATCACACAGGAAGTGACTGCCAGCAATTGGCCTAGCAGATCTGAAAATCGTTTGTATGGTACAACTTATCATAAAGTACAACTTTGTGAACTCAAAATGTCAGTATGGAAAGGACCCGGTCTAGGAAAGCTTGCTCACATCTCTCTTGGTAGGTTAAGAGGCACATAATATAGCGTTTCTCATCAAATTTCTATTCTAATTCTAAATTCTAATTACAAAACAGTATTCGGAACATAATATACAAGAAACTATGCAAAGAACAATAACTCTATGAAAACTCACTGACCATGCCAATCTACATTACATATAAATAATTATGGACATAAATTATTGGAACTTTGTAAAAATTTAGATCTGTATATTGTTAATGGTAGAATTAGTAATGATCAATTTGTAGGGGCTGTTACAACAAGTAAAAACACACTTATTGATTATGCAATTGTGTCACCTATGTTATTTAAATGTATTTCATACTTCAATATTGCAAATTTTGATCCAATTTTAAGTGATATTCATTGTCCAGTTATCATAAATTTTGACACTTCTGTAATACTTGAACCTGTTGATACTCTGTCTAATGATGCCAATGTTTCACATGATGATAATATCCATGTTGCACACAAATCAAAATGGAAGAATAATAATGCAAATGTATTTTTAGAAAATTTGAATGATGAAAATATTCATGATTTAGTTGAAAAACTTGAAAATCTGGATGTTAATAATATTAATGCTGAAACTGTCACGATGTAATATTGAATTGTAATTCAATTGTTAAAATGCTGCTGATAAAGCCGACATGATTGTAGAATTCAAACCCCAGAACAGACTTGGTGTTAGGTAAAAAAAATGTAAACCTTATTTTAACCAAGATTGTTATTTTAGGTGGATCATGGGTATATATTTTCTCAGATAGAATTTTCTTAAACTTTGTCAAAATGAAGATTTTATCTTCCTTTTTTCAAAACTATAATAAAAAGTATGGGTCTCCTTGCTATTTTTCAAGCTACATGTCGTGCAAATTTGCCCAAATTTGCATAGATTGTTCATGAAATAACACATTTGTGTGACTAAAAAGAAATCTATGAGATAGAATTTTGAAATAAAATATGAGATAGGTTTTGTAATATGCTTTAAGAAAATAAAAAGAAAAAAGGATGTCACCGAATTGCTACAAGTAAAAATTGAAAAATTTCACTATGATTCCAGTATAAAATTTTTACTATAAGAGTTATCTCCCCTTATATGGCTAAGTTGAAAAATTTATTCTAAAAAACACACATATTTAGCATTTGTTTAAATATTTTGGACTATGCAATAAATCACTTATTTTTCTTTATAAAAATAAAACATTTTTTACACATAAATTGCAGATCTGTCTCAAAATTTGCAGATTTAGGCAATGAACTAGACCGATTGAGTACTGCTATTGTATAATCCAAGATGGCGAAATGCAGTGAATCTACCTTAAAACGTAAAGCATATCGTAAATGTAAAAATCTCCACTGGAGATTACAAACGGCTGAAACAAAAGAAAATCTTATTGCTAGTAGTAGAGTTAGTTTAGAGAATATCAGAAATATGTTATAGACAAATTGAAAAACTTGCGTAAATCTGATTCGAAAGCGTACTGGTCTCTTTTGAACAAATGTGATACAAAGGGCACCTACCTACTTAATACCCCATCCCGATTTGTTTTATGTAAGTAAATAGATAATACTGTTAGTTTTTCAATTTATATCAGTTTTAAAATTTAAGGAAAATGTGCGACCATTAAACGTGGACCTTACCGTATTGTTGGTGGAAAGACGGGGACATGTAAGTCATTTTTTATCATGACACTTATAGATAGAAGGGTAACCACGATTTTTATTATCAAAAATGTTAGCGCTTGTAGTATTTTTAGATAAGCGATTTTGAAGATTGAGACGTGTAGATACCCTTTGAACGAGTTTGGTATTAAGTATTTATCCGTTTCTGAGTTCCATTTTGTTATCCGTATTTCCAATAGAAAGTGAGCCAATGCTCCGTGTTGAAGGCCGTACCTTGACCTATAATGGTTTACTTTATTAATTGTAACTTGGATGGAGAGTTGTCTCATTGGCACTCATACCACATCTTCCTATATCTAAAGACTGGCGTTCAGAATATGAACCAACACACAGGAATTGAATCAAGTAAAAAGATAAAACTGTTCAGCTACAGACGTCAAGTGCTATCTATCATCAAGTACCCGACAAAATACGGAACCAGAGGACAAAAACAAAAGACAGGGTATATCAGGGTAGCGCCTGCATGACGTCTGACTTAACAGAAGAAAGAGGGTTAATCGTGAAATATGAGTTTTAGATAAATATTCCTAAAGTAAGGACACACACTTCATTATCTTGTATAAAGCATAAACCTGAAGCACGGGCAGGCACTCTACTGTCTCCACACGGCACTAAAGACAAACTCTGTAAAAAATGTAATTGGGAATGGACACGGGGAATGTGTCAAAGAGACAACAACTCGTGCAAAGAGCAGAACACAGCTCAAGGCCACCAATGGGTTTTCAACACAGCGAGAAAATCCTGCACTCGGAGGCGGGCTTTAGCTGGACCCCTAAACAAAAGTGTATACTAGTTCAGAGAAAATGGACGTCACACTAAACTCCGAAACATATAAATGAACCAAAAAACATACAAGACTAACAAAGGCCAGAGGTTCCCGACTTGGGACAGGCGCAAAAATGCGGCGGGGTTAAACATGTTTTGTGAGATCTCAACCCTCCCCTATACCTCTAGCCAATGTAGAATAAACAAACACACAGCAATACGCACAGTAAAACTCAGTTCAAAAGAAGTCCGAGTCCGATGCTAGAAGTATATTTTATTTATTTGTTTTAATTGCACCACGATTTAAAGATTACCATGCTTTCGTTCTAAAAATAAATACATTTTGCTGAAAGATACGAAGAGCCAGTACAAATTTTAGGAACGACACTTGTAAAATCCGAAAAAGGCCATCGCTAACGCATTCATTTTTACTTTTAAAGCTATTCAAATTTTGTTTTAATGTTTTTAATGAAAGGCCGATATGCTAATTTGATTATCGATTATCGGTGAAGAATGTCAAAATATTCAATGTTAAAAGTGGGCGTAACAGACAAACGTTAACCTGATCTGACCCAATCAATTGGAAAACTGAGCGCGCCAACGAATGGTTTCGTCAACACTGTTATGAAATTGATAATGTAAGTGACACTACAAAAGTATAAAATATTTTATCTACACAATACTTCTATATAATGTACACAAAAGATTGTAGGATTTGATCTCCATACCATTGTTTGATATTTGTGCAATGATATTCATGTTAAAAAGAAACAGAAGTAAACAGCGATAAGGTGAACACAGAACGTAAGTCAATAGAATGAAATGAATATATTATATGAAACTTGTTAGAAGCAGTTTTTTTTTTTTTTTTTTTAAGTTAATAAGGGGTTTATAAACTTTTAATACTGCGGGACACGGGGAGTGATTGGTGCAGAGGGAAAAGTTAACATTCTGTAGCGGATTTCTTTTTACGTACGATGGAGCGTGACATTATCTAAAAACATGCAGGTCCGCAGACAATCTCTCCGGATTATAATAATACGGTGAACGAGGAACTCATGAGAGGAACCAAGTCAAGATAAAATTTTAACGCAGAATAATGTTCACAAAGAGGAAGAACTCTCATTTAGTATGCAATTGTAACTAAGGACATATACATATACAATAACGAATGCAAATTTATCTACATGTACTTATCATAAGTACTATTAAAAAAATCTACTCCTCATAGGCTTGTAATTGAACATATGAGGATTTGTAAACTTGCCATCATGCGTAATAAAAACTATTGCCCATTAGCAAACTGACCATCGAACATCAGTGAACAGACCATCGCACGTCAGCGTGACCCTCGCACTTTAGCGTCTCCATCGTAACTCCGAGTCCTACATATATACAATGGTCTACAAAATATATACAGTCCTGCAATTATCATATGTATCAATTTCAAATCAAAAAGCTTTCAGCGTTATATAATAGAATTTGGATTCAACAAACTGTATCATGGGCGTGTATTTTGCTTAGCAGCTCATAGCTCATCTTGTTCTGCAGTGCTACGAACAAATATTTCCAAGTAGAAAATGTTATACTTCAATGTGAATATAAATATGTTTTCAAATTTATACCATCTGACACATTTTCTACCATATCTTTGATATAAAAAGCATATAATTTAATCAAAATTTAGTATTTAATAAGGATTTCTGTTTTTGAGTTAAGTTGCCCAAAATTCCAGCTTAATAAATCAGAAGTTACTCTTGATTTCCTTACGTTGTCATATACAAATTCTTTATTTTCCGGGCCTTTCAAAAAGTCAGTTTTAATCATCCTCAATATGTGTTTTTCTTATTTTCTTGACTAATGCTGCTTTCGTAATATACTGTTATAAGGATAGTTCTTAAAACATAATTGTTCAGTCTTCTGATCTCCTTATTTCTGTAACGTGTACACAGGGTAAGCGTGTTTATTTCTTTTCTGTATAAGGTCCGTTACCAGTGTGATACTGGATCCGAAATGTTCTATTTATAAATTGTTCAACAAGTAAACTTTTATTTATGCATTATCTATAACTTAACATCAATGAACTAAAATATGTACAACTGCTCTTTGCGTTCTATAATGAATTATTTATAGCTATTCTTATTCATGACAAATATATATACAACTGGTAAACAATTTTCTTATTACAAATGTGTACTGGGTCAGGAATAAACTTGTCCTTTTGGTACAATTATGTACAGTTCAAGCTATAACACTTGTCCAATAACAAGTTCCTGAGTTCTTAACAGGCACTAACCTGTTCTTTATTACATTCAATGTAATACAATGTAGTATCTGTTATATAAGAGACAACGATCTCGAATATCAACGTACCGTACCTTGGTCTTATGTCGTCGTAGACTTATAACAAAAGACAATAAGCAAGGAATCGCGCCTGCTTAAATACCACAATGGTAGCCGTTCCATTCTTGAAGGAGGGATGTTCTTCCAAAGTGCCTCATTCCTCGTATTAGAGTTTCCTTTAGAACACTTCTTCACATTTGACCTGACCCAAGGTTTACCCGCCAAATATCTTATTCTTTTCTATGTGTTATTAAAGTATATACACATACATAAAATAAGGCTTCTATCGAACTGTAACTAAGGTAAACTATCTATCCTAAGATACAAAATCATCACATTTCTGTTAAAACGTAAGTTTAAATTTTCATCGGTCATTTAGTCTCTACAGCTCGTTGAAGGAAAATATGAGGCTGTTATCATATATAACCATTTATATAAAGGTCAGCTAGTCCCAGTTCGTATTTATTTGACAAAACTGCCCCCCTCCCCCCCCCCCCCCAAAAAAAAAAGCGGTATGTAGTTTTATGCATTCGATTTAAAAAAATTTAAGTAGGAATACTGATTTTTAAATCAGCAAAATAATACCAGAACACGAACATGCTTAGCAATTTAATAAGATACACTACTCGAGTTATAGTGTAAAATAGATCTAGTGATATGACCCCAAGGATAACGGCTGCGAATTATCGTTTACTTACAGGGACTTTTCCTGTCCGACATGAAGATTAATATCGTTACATCCGATAGGAAGATAACTTTCGTTATCTGGACTTTTCCTGTCCGACTGGAAGATAAATATCGTTACATGGACTTTCCTGTCCGACAGGAAGATAAACATCGTTACATGGTCTTTCCTGGCCGACAGGAAGATAAATATCGTTACATAGACTTTCCTGTTCGACAGGAAGATAAATATCGAGAAGGGAATGATTTACTGTTTAAGATGTATAAAGACGAAGCAACACCTCGTTAAGATGTATAGTTAAATCTATTTCCTTGTGTTTGTAGAATTTTAATCTCTTTACACGTGCATTTAAACTGTTAAAAGATCATTAAATAACAGTGCTCATTGAGAGGTATGTATGTGACTATGTGGAATATGATATACCAGGTTGTATTTTAGTTTTTCTTGTTTATTTATGGTATTGCTGATACTTATATCACATTAATTCTCTTTTAGGGATTTGTTTTGTACACATCATTAACATAGTTGGGTTTTACGTCAAACATGACGGACAAAGCGCGTGAAAATTTCTACAGAAATGCTACGGTGATTGTTGATCACGGAAAGGAGGCCATGGCTGCCGTTTTGGATGATGACTTGTCTAAAACAAATTTAACATTTGTGGATTTTATCAATCAAAATCAACATGAAATTTACCATTTATGTTATAACAGATTCCCATGTTGTCAATGTATAAATAATAGATTACCACAAGGTACTCCAAATTCAAGAATCCTTCATGAAAATCAACTGGATGTATTACTTGACAAAAGTGGGCCAAGACTCTCCAATCACAATCCTCGTACGAGTTCAACATTTTGTTGTTGTTTAGCCAAACCCAACCTGTCGTCTTCTTGTCTTGATATAACTCTTACCAGATGCTTGTTAATCAACTTTGCTGTTAATTGCCGAACGACTCCCTATTTAAAACAAGCTATAGACAATCTCATAGAATACAGAAATAAGATGTATGGTCATGCCAAAAAAGCAAGGATAACTGAAGCAGACTACCAAAAGTACAAAACAGATCTTGAAAATATACTTTTAACCATTGCACGATTCTGTAACATTGAAGATAGAATGAAACAGAATCTTTCGGATTCTGAACAAAGACCTCTTGATTCCACAATACTGCTACAGTATCAAAATTTTCTTTTGCAAGAATTAAAACAGCAAAGCGACACTGAAAAGGTTAGTATATTAAAAAATCTTGATGTCTATTACTGGCACTGACCAGTACTGATAATATATTCTATTGTGGTGTATGTTCCACGATACATTTGTTCCAACAAACACAACTAATGGGCCAAAGGTACTAACGACAATCCTTTCCGAAGTCTATTAAAAAGACTAAGCTACTACAATAATTTCGTGTACCTTAAATCTATACTCACATTTAAGTCTTGGTCATTCAAATATTCGTTGTTAGAAGATTTTTTTTTCTTCAAATAAACAAAAACTGAAAGTAGCAAATAATAAAAGATGTGCTTGATTAAATACATGTAGTATCATTGCATGGTTTACTGTTTCTGTAAATACTCATAATGTTTTAACATCGTTATTCAAATTGTAAACGCTCACATTTTTCCCGGTTGTCATCTTTGAGATTTGAAGGCATACACATAGCGGGATTACATGTATGCATTGAATGAATAGTGGGCCAGTATTTCTGATTTGTACATCTTTTTTTAATTGCAGAAAATATTTTTACGTGTTTACGGATTTATTAAAACTAACTCTGCGCGAAAATGTACATGTGCTTTTTCTATATAGTGTCTACATGCCATTTTGTTTTTCTTTGTTGACGTAGTTGTTTATTTTTATAGTGATTAAGATTATAACGCAATGTTGACTACTGTACCCCAATTTTTGACATTTTTACTTATTATGTCTGTTTGTTTTGCTCACACATTGTTGTCAATATAATTGAATTTTACGTGACTGTCATACAAGTGAGAGTTTTAGCTAGCTTTAAAACCAGGTTTAATCCACCATTTTCTGCATAAGGAAATGCCTGTACCAAATAAAGGCAACAGTAGTATACCAGTGTTCAAAAGTCATAAATCGATTGAGAGAAAACAAATCCGGGTTACAAACTAAAACCGAGGGAAATACATCAACTATAAGAGGGAAAAAAAGGAACAACAGGAACACTGAAGTGCAACAAAAACAAACGCCAACATACATAGAAACGAACAATTTGATAACAACTGCCATATTCCTGACTTGGTACAGGAAATTTTAAGAAAAAATGGTGGGTTGAACCTGGTTTTATGGCTAACCAAACATCCCGCTTATATGACAATGTTAAAAAATATCGCTAAAATGATAACACTACGTGACAGAAATACAACACACAACAAACACACGCAAGAACACTCATTACAGAGAAACGCACAAACAAATAATATAATAGTCGACACAACATGCAAACCGCAAAACAACAACGAACATCTTCCATCAACGACAGACACCACAGGACATCACAATCAGTGACGCACTTACGTAAAGAACATGCAATCTTGAACTTTATACAATTATTTTCACAATACCAGTCCAAACAATTTTCATGACAATGATGGTATTGAAAGGCTATTTTATAATTATTTGGACTACAAACGATAAGACATAACACATTATCCAACCGAAACCATAACAGAAACAACAAAAATAAATACACGAATGTTGGATGTACAAAATACCGAGACACGTCGTATAGCAATGCAAATTCACACTCGGTATAAATGTCATATTCGGGAATAGGTCACATTCGGTACTTAGCAGACAGACGACATAGATGTTAAACCACAGTCTAAGACGTGGTAAAAATGTCGTTAGTTAGTATAGATACAGACACATCGTATAGATCAACCAATTCGTGATGATGTTCATAAAATTTAGGGAGCGTCATTTTAAATCTTTCCTCCTCAAAACTCTGTTGGAGCAGATTCTGCGTAAGGAGCACACACCTGTATATGAAGTCAGTATAGTGTGAACAGGCACGAGCACAACGTATCAATTGAGATATGTAAACACCATACGACGGAGCAGAGGGTATGTTACTGCTGAGAAATGGGAAATTGATAATTGGGAAGTTGAAATCATCCCGTTTGTCATAGATTTTAGTGTGAAGTCGTCCATCTGTGTCAATATTGAGGAAAAGATCAAGATATGAAGCAGTCCTTCTTGTATCAGTAGTATCCTTAATTTCAAGTTCACTGGGATATATGAGATGCAAGTACTGACTGAAATATGGGTTATTCAGTGATAGGACATCATCAATATATCTGAAAGTAAGTCAGGAGTATGACAGGTGTTTTCCATTCGCTTGATGTGTTTGAGCTTTTGAGTTTGTCATGCGTTAAGGGACTTTTCGTTTTGAATTTTCCTTGGTATTTTTGTAATTTTACTTTTTACAGAAGTCAATGTCTGTCCTTTTCAATACAAGTAACTTAGCTCTTACAGTTTCAAAGAACATGAAGGAAAAGTAATGACAATAACAATTAATTTGAATGAAGTATGTAATGTGCTAATATTCTGCCTTGATTTGCAACATATATATGCTGTCGATCCTATTGCTGTCTTCTGTAGACTGTTTTCAGCATACTAGTAGTAATGTGTTCACTGACTGTCTTGGGTCCATATGCTTTGGATTGTTGATGTATCTTTTATTCACAATTACCTTATTACTAGGACTTCTTCTGTATTCTAGAAACTTGAGGAGATACAACAACAGATAACAAAAAATAACAGCATAGTACAAAGTGAACTGACAGAAATTGATGATAAAATCACTCAATTAGGTAAATATCACTTATTGTGCGTACCAGGTTCTTTTTATTTCTTTTGTGTATAATTATTATTTTTTTTAATGTTACATTGTATCCATTGTTCGTCGCGGCTAGCCTCAGTTTGAAACGAAATATGTAGTGGTTGCATACAATGATACGCTTATTGATTGATGCCAATGCAGAAATACTAATTTATCAAAGAAACATATATAGCTTACAAAGGTGTTCGTCAGAGTCAGTGATCCAAAGATACAAAAAGAGGTCAACATTCCATTTTTAATAACACACAAGTGTCCATACTAAACAATATAAAAGCAGCTCTACATACCAAAAAGTCAAGTGTCCATACTAAACAATATGAAAGCAGCTCTACATACCAAAAAGTAAAGTGTCCATACTAAACAATATGAAAGCAGATCTACATACCAAACAGTTTTAGAAAGTGGAATGTTATTTAGCTTTTGTCCAATCTTATTCATATATTCCATATTGTTTGCAGTTGCAAATATTTCAAGCATATATATACAAGATAAGAACAAATTTACAATTAAGAGTACTTTCTGCAAAGTGGGTCAAATCGGATTGACCGTTGAACACATTCAGACACCCAGGAAAAATTCATGAAGAAAAAATTGCCTTTTGAATAGGCCACGTATCTTTCCAAGACTCGTTACAAATATTTCTATCACGTGTTGAGAACGCGACATCCTCCCTACACGAGCCATCGAATTAAAGATCACAGTTTCGACCTACGTGGTTGCATAGTTATACACTCAAACAGTCGCCCTTTTTTTTTAAATGGGGTTTAACTGTCGGATAGTAGAAGTCTAGGATACAATAATTCTACACTCAATTCAATACTTGAGGTTGCCGAATATCTGATACACACGAATATCACTTAGTTTCTGTACACTTAAAACGAATGTCTGATATTGGTTTATTTGAGCTATAAAGACCACACAATCCTAATTAAATAGCATTTTGCTATTGTACGGAAGTGTAAGTATATATAGAAATATATTCTGTTGTTTTCCATTCGTTTGATGTGTTTGAACTTTTGATATTGCCATTTGATAAAGGACTTTCCGTTTTGAATTTTCCTTGGGGTTCGGTATATTTGCTATATCTTACTTTTTTCTAATTCAAATGTTGTGTTATTTAAAAAATATTAATAAGGGAATGTTTATATTAACTTTAAGATAGTAACATGATTTTATAAAAGACTTATTAAATTTAAATATTTTTTGCAAATTCAAAGATAACAGAAAACAGAATATAATAGGTAAGTACATGTATGAGTTTACATCGTTTCATGTTAAAAATTAAATTAAACATAAGGAAGTAAGGGCCGTTAGGTGGTCCCCGAGATTTTAAAAATTCGAAATGCCTCAAGGGCTTAAAATTGGTAGTTTTGTTGATTAATGAAAGGATAATATAAGCTGAACACTCAAGTGTAGAATTTATGACATATTCGAGCTATTCTCGGACCAAACTGACCATAATAGTTTGGCAACCTTAGTAATGAGAGAAGCACTACTTTAAAAGACATTATCGTGCCAGTGCCAGTAAGATAAGGCATGATTCATTTTCTTAAGATAATGTTGTTTAATAGCTGATAAATCTACTTACTCTCGTTAATGAAAAAAAAAATTCTATATTTTGATGAAAACAAAACACATAATAAATATCGTCCACCATACACATGGGTTCAGTTCACACATCTCTTCAAACCTTTCAGAACCAGTCAAGAGAACTGCAATAGAACATCATGTAGAACAGTTCTTAGATATACACTAATCTCCAGGTGTTTTTTTTATGAATGAGTTACACCGGTTGACCCGAGGTCAACGGACGTAAACCAAGTCATCAAACAATCGGTTCTTACTGTGACGTGATACCATAAGCATTGTGACATAGGAAATTTACTGGAAAATGCTCTAATTCGAAAGTCGTCTACAAATTGTTTTTTTATTAACATAAATTAATCAATTTTATTGCACCTTTGCTGTTAACAATTTACTTTATCTACAGCTTTAATTAAGTATCCCTGTAAATTAGTTATTGAATATCTTGGGAAAGTATTCAATAAAGTATATCTATAAAGTTAGGTATATTAATACATTAGAACAGTTTTACATAATAAAATGTTTACCGGAATACGGTGCGTTTCTTTACCTATATTGTATATGATTTTATTAAAGCTTCACTGAACCGCGAAAATGATGATGATCATTGGTAGCATGACTCTTCATCAGTAGATTTTTACATACAATTGCTAATTTTGAACTTTTTTTGTTCTGTTTACACGACTTAATTGTAAAAGAAGTCTTAATTGATGTTTTAAATATTATTCTCTTGTTTTTTTTTTGCTTCTGATTTTATTTATGTTAATAATGTCCCAGATTTCATTTTTGAAGATTTTAAAGATATTAATGACCTTCTCCTTCTTGTCAGACATATAATCTGCTTTATAGATGGAAAAAAATTATAGTTAATAGATAGTTCATATCAAAATAAGCTTCATCTTCAATTTTATAGCCTGTTACTAAACTTTCAAGACTTGGTATATGCTTATCAATTCTTAAATATGCCATATTGGTCAATTGTATGCCAATAATTAACATTATATGAACAGGAAAAAAAGAAGTGTTTATAATCATCATGTTGCTTACAATGGGTGCACGAACTGCTTAATACTATTTTCCAGTTATAAAGTAATTCAATACAGGCTAATATATAATGTTTTATTTTCCATTTAAACATTTTAAATTTGTTGTTTTCAAGGTATTTAAAAATAAAGTTAAATGTGGACTTAAATTTTGTTGCCATTTTTTTATGAATAATTCTTTCCCACATTAAAACTATCGGTTTATCGTGTGTAAATTGACTTTGCAAGTAAGTATATACTTCTTTGTTGCTTATATCATGTGCAATTTCATGTTTTAGTAGTATATCTACCTTTTCCGATTTTTTTATATTGACAACAGTTTTGTAAGAGCTTTCTTGTTTTAAAATATTTTGCCAGTGCTTTGGTATAGCTTATTTAACTAATGAAAATTCTCTAATCCAGACTTGTTTATTCTTTAATTTTTTTAGTACAGTTTCTGGTGAGATGTATCCATTTTCATCTATTATATTATTAATGTACAAAATATTACTATTAATCCAGTTTTGAAAGAACAAACATTTCCCATTTCTTTGATAAGATAATTTCCCAATATAAGTTATTTTTTAACCTCAAGAAAGTTTCTTGGTATGATTGTTTGACCTCCTTTTACTTCTACCCATGTTTTTATTAATTGTTTATAGAATTCTGGTAAAGATTTAAAATTTATTTTTTTAAGCATGTTAACATTTGTTAAATTCATTCTGAATAACTAAAGTCTTTCCCAAATTTATTAAGGTAAAATTTTGGAATTATTTTCCAGTGATCATTTTCCTTTTTTAATAGTTTTAAAACCCATCTGATTTGTAACGATTTTAGGTAGCAATCTAAATTAATCATTTGTTATCCTCCGTCAAGATATGGTTTATATATTAAATTTTTGAACCTTTGCTTTATTTCATTTGTTATTATCATACTTGATGCAATGAATGTTAGGTTTGGTAAAATTAAAAACTTTACTACAGTAATCTTTCCTATTGATGTTAAGTTTCGCTTGTTCCATCCCTGAATTAATTTTTCACATTTATCTATTTGCATCTCTATGTTCAATTTATGACATTCTTGATAATTGTATCCAAAATATATTCTTAAACTTTTAAGGTGGTCTTGTTTCCAGTTTCTATTTTCAAATTTATCTTTTGAATGATTAAGTTTCCCAAGCTACAAACCTTCTGTTTTATTTCTATTCAATTTAATTCAAGAAAGGCTTCCAACATTTTCAATAATATTAAGCACTGGGTTAAAGCTTATGACCGTAATTCGATTCACGATCATCCCAAGATGGCGGACGCAGAATTAGTAAGAATCTGTATTGTCTGTTGAAGTGTTTCTATGATATATTCTATATAAAGCATACATTTGTATGATATAAATTTATAAAAGGTTCACACGGAAATCACAAATTACTACGGAGAAATGTATATGAAACAGCAAATTCGATTTGAAAAAATCGCAAAGATGACAGTAATTCATCATCATTATTTTTTTCAAGATGACCGTTACATATAACAAGGATGACCGTGATTCCATAATCCGAGCAACAGATACTGTTGAGTTTGTCTCAATGGGAATGATAGGGGCTCGGGTAGCGGGTATAAATAACTTCAATCAATGTCTTTTTAACTTTTTGCCGTATATCAGTACAGGACATGGATAGTAAATTGCATATTGCTAGTAAACAATGAAATATTGATAACAACGTTAAAATTTTAATACAAATTGACAGAGATAGGACAAAAAGTTTAAAAAAAAACATTGATTAAACATATTTATATCCGCTAACCGAGCCCATGTGTATGTTTCCACAGGAAGCAGATTAAAAGCTAACTTTGTCTTGATGTATGAATAACATTTTTTGTATGCAATTTGACAAGGTTCCTCTTTGTAATACGCCATTCGTACAAGGCTATTTCAAGGATCTTGGTGGTAGACTTAATTATAAATTTGGTAATATTTTGCATATCTATTTATATATATATTATATATGCATTTAGACACTCCAGCTACCTTAATTTCAGTTTTTGAAGGTAAAAAAGCGAAAGGATCCATTTACCCTCTATTTGTTTTCATTCAAAAGGTCAACATCTAAAAGTTGCCAACTCCTAATGGAAATTAAATATCAAAGAGTATTGATTTGATTAACGATGATCTTCTAATACATTTTTGTGATAAATGCTCAAAACTTGCCAAAATTTGTCAAAATTGCGGTTATGAGCTATCTTGAGACATTTGCAATTTGGTGATCTGTTTAGAAATAAAAGAGAAGTGAAAGATACCAAAGGTACATTCAAACTAAGAAGTAGAAAAAAAAACCTGACTACGCCATGGCTAAAAAAGAAAAAGACAAATAGACAAACAATAGTACACAAAACACGACAAAGAAAAATAAAGACTAAGCAATATGAACGCATGTACCAATACTGGGGTGATTTAAGGTGCTCTGGAAGGGTAAGCAGATCCAGCTGCACGTGTGGCACCCGTCGTGTTGCTCATGTTAGTACAAACCGGGCGATACGTCTAATTCGGTAGGTCACATTTGGGGAAGGGGACGGGATTGTTGTTACGACAAGGAACATATCCGTTGTCATCTGTGACACGGATATTCCATAACGGTCAACCAAAAATAAGCAATCATATTGTTAAAACCTTAAGATGACAAATAAGACTGTTATATGAATTAAGGTAAAGATTGAAAGACTTTTTGAAAATGGCCCTGCTGTGATACCAATTCAAAGGAAGTTGGCACTACCTCTTTCTCCAGTGTAGAAACGGTAAAATAACTGAAGTCGTAGTTTCCTTAGGATCGCTCCGCTATTCCGACACCACATTGGTCCGACACTCCAATAGTCCGACACCCCAGTAGTCGGACACATGTGCAGGTCGTAATTAAAAATATCCTTCATAGAATCGGTAAACGTGGTAATTGCGCTATTGTATACTTTCCCTTCTGAGTATAAAGAATTAAATGAAAAAGACAGCACTTCCCGTCTGGTATGTAAAAAATACCACGATCCTATGAAAATAATGCAATGGACAACCATGCAACATTTTGCTTTACTACTATAACTTATGATCTAGCTGTTTCATAAAAAAAAATCCGCTATAAAGTGAATTTGATTGATAGATTGTTGTATTTAGTCCAGTGACAACTGTTTCATGTTCAAAAGGAGAAATAAATTAACAATAAATACAATAAGAAGGTCCTGTAATAGGCAATCGACCGGATTAAAGGGCGGAAAATTTAGACTGCCACTGGAAAATGATCAACCCCGGGGTATATTGGTAAGGGACTGGATTCTGACCGGACGTGGCTGCGTATTTATACTTATATTTGTAAAAGTTTACGGACGCAGGACGACGGACGACGGACGACGGACGCCAAGTGATGAGAAAAGCTCACTTGGCCCTTTGGGCCAGATGAGCTAAAAATACTAGAACTTTCGACCATTATACAAATATCTTAAATCTTATTTAAAACTTTTTGCAAGTTCAGATATATTTTGTGGTTACTGGAAAATTTTCAACAATAACATGCTCAATTATTTGATACAAAAAAGGTTGAACAGCTGTTAATATAAATACGGATATTTCTTAGAATTTACGGTCATCCTTTACAAGTTACGGTCATCCTTTATAAATTAAGGTCATCTTTTACCAATTACGGTCATCCCTGTTTTAAATCGCTGGTACTGTTACGGTCATCACGATTGTAAATTACTGTCATCTTCAAGTTAGCGATTTTTTCAAATAGAATGTCCTGTTTTATATACATTTCTCGGTAGTTATTTGTGATTTCCGTGTGAACCTTTATAAATTTATATCATACCAATGTATGATTTATATAGAATATATCATAGAAACACCTTAATAGACAATACAGATTCTTATCTAATTCTGCGTTCGCCATCTTGGGATGACCGTGAATCACCGTGAATCGAATTACGGTCATCAGCTTTACCCCAGTGATTAAGGGCTATACTTATATCTTTGCGTGTTTTCAAAAACAATTGAGGATCATCTGCCAATTGACATATTTTGAGCGAGCAAGATTTTCCATGTATTTTGATTTCAAATCCTTTTAGCTGCTTATTTTCCCTAAATTTAATTGCCATAACTTCAACAGATAAAACAAAAATTAAGGAGGATAACCTTGTGTAATCCCACGAAATGTATTGAAGGGGGCAGAGACCCATCCATTATTTAAAATACACCCTTTTATATCTGTATACATAGTTTCAACCCATGTTATGAATTCTTTTTTAGAACCAAATTTGTTTAAAGATTTAAACATAAAGCACCACTCAAGTGAGTCAAAAGCCTTAGCAAAGTCTAAAAATCAAATTGTACCACCTACCTTAAATTTTTCAGAGAAATCAATAATATCTTGAATTTGTCTAATATTAAATCCTATGTATCTGTTTTTATGTAACCTTTTTGATCAGAGTGAATGATTTTCGGAAGTACTGATTTCAATCCTTGCGCTAAGGCATAGGCTAATAATTTAACATCATAATTTAATAATGTGATAGGTCTATAGTTATCAAGGGAGAGGGGATCATTTATTTTTATACAAAAGAGGTATAGTTCCAATTCAGTCCAAGTAGTCGTCTACAATGTATTATTTCATAAGATTGTATAATGTCTGGTAAACACGGGTGAGAAAATGATATGGTCACTCTATAATGCAAATATTTTACCTGAAATAAACCAAAAGTGCTCCTTAACTTAATTATAACATGGAAATGTAACATAGCTCCAACAAGTATCCAAGATTGTAATTGATTTTACTATTAAACGATTTATCCGAAATATGACTTCTAGGGATAACCCAGCTAAATACCCCTCCAATTTACGTTATTTATAACTGTTCTTAGAACAGGTTCTGGTAGTTCTATCCTAGAACAAACCCTGACAGTTCTACCATAGACAAGATTTGAACAGTCTTACCCTAGAACTCATTCTTACAGTTAAACCCTAGAACAGTTCTCAGAGTAGATCAATTCTATGACAGGTTATTCTGACAGCACTAATGAAGTTAGAACTGATCCCAACTGTATTGCACCGCTTGATATCCGCAAAACAAAAAATCGTCCAAGAGCAGCTTTCGCTAAATAAAAAATGATCACGGTAACATGTAAGACTATGAATCTTGCAATAACAATAATTTACAACCATTTTTATGCTGCAAATTACTTGTAACATGTATAATGCAAACTATTTTTAGACCAAACCAAGGCTTGCATTGCGCAACACGAAGAAGATGAAACATATTTTCCAACATTGGGTGTTCAGATTGCTTGTGAAGTGATGGAGAAGAATAACATCGTAACCATCATGTCAAAACAAGGCGGCGGGAAATCCAAGACAAGTCTCCAAATAGCTTTTATTTACAAGGGAAAACATTTTTATCAGCCTATGCTTTTCTTTTGCGATGATATTTTAAGATATAGAGACCTTTTAAACTTAAATGAACCGTCCTTATTCATACTAGAAGATTTATTTGGCAAAACAACTTTATTTTTTAATGAGGATATCCACAGAGGTATTTTTGATATTTTGTACAGTTGTATCACTCACCCGTCTTGTAAATCAAGATTTATCATAACTATGAAAGGCAATCAGCAAACAAACAGAAAATATTAGAAAAACACAAGTTGTTTGAAAAAGAAGTTATTGTGGACTTAGAATTAAATCAAAATTATCTAAATAGGCATCTTAATCAAGCGATATTGTTATATGTCAAAACACAATATAAAGTCATGCGGAACATTTCATGAACGATTTACACAATGTATCTCGGAGATCATAGAAAATAGTGATACATCCTTGCAGATATGCAGTGTATCAGTAGAAGCAATTTACACCAGCAGTTTTAATTCCGAAACAGGTTTCCCACTAGCTTGTCACTTTTTTTGCAGTAATAAAAACTTAACCAAACAAGGTTTTCGATATTTTTCGCGTGCGACTCAAGCATTAGTTGAGGAAATCAATCAGTTGAGAATCAAGGGCTTTGACAACAATCTTTACATGTATAAATATTCACTACTAGTGTATACCGCCTTAAAAGATAAACTGAATGTAGATAATATTGATGAAGAACTTTTAAAGGCGATCTTGGGTAATTTTGAAAAGCAAACTGCTATTAAGACAGTCTTGATAAAAGAAGCATTTTCACACCTCAAGGAAACATATATGATTGAACAGCCATATCCGATTTTACATCTGAATGGGAAACGTTCGAAGTTGTCGGATACTTATATGCTACAGCACTCTACTGTAAAGGAAGCTATATTAATATCGTATGCCGATGATGTAGGTGTTTCTCACTGTGATGCAAAATTTATATACGATTATGTCCGGCCTAAGGGTTTTAGAGATCAAATTAGTGAAGACATGACATTCATTTTTACGGATTGTAAACCACTTGTGCTTAAACTACATTCTATAGCTTCTGGGCATCGTGCATGCTTTTCCATCGGTCAATATTTAAAAATGACTGGTTTAAAGAATAGAAACGATACAAGGATTAAATATTTCTTTGAAGAAGCTAAAGGAAAAATCAAAATAAAGCAGTACGCATTTATTTTAGACGGGCTTACAGACTTTGGAACTGAGAACGACTTCATTCTATTTCATCCTGATATAAGTAAACGCATAGTTTTGTATGGAAGCGCTGATATTGTATGCTCTTTCTGTAAACCAATGGAATGTCCATTAATTAACAATGGTTTTGTAAAGGTCAAAGGTAATGTATTATACACAAGATTGCTTTCCATTCTTATTGGAGAAACATTTCATGAATACGAGACTGGTTCCGAAAATGAAGAGCTAAACTATATAAAAGAAGGTGTAGAATTTAATCATTGCATGGTGTATGATAACAGTAATATACATTATGACCATGTTCAGAAAATTGGAAATTATGTGTATAAATTGCTTTTCATAGATGGTGGGAAGAAGGTTGCTGAAATGATTTTGTTTAATTTGGTTGTAAAGCAATGCCTCATAAACCCTCTTATAGTGAAACATTTTTTAAACGGTCTCACGGATAGTGGAAGGCGCTTGGACTTTGTTATATATTACCAAGCCTTTTCGAAAATAATGATATTTCTATTTGCTAGCATTCCAGTAGTCTTGAATCTTTGCCGACCTTGTACTCATCCTGAAGAAAGTCCTCTTTTCATTAAAATAGACGACACATTGATGGCTAGGAAGTTAGCTGCACAACTCGAACCAACTTTTTATGACAGATACGCAAAAAGACATCGTCGTGCGTTTGGAGAGATGATGATTCCAGATGAAAGTTTTACGAACAGTGGTGCGTATGTTGTTTACTAGGATAAAAGTTACTATACAAAGGAGTATATAAATGATATAGCAGAATATGTATTCAAATATGGTGTACAGACAAAAAACCTAACCTTTCTTAAGACAATATTTGATAGATTTGTAATTTATGAAACCAGGGTTATAAGCTTAAATTCCCCACTCGAAGATAGTGAAGAAGGAGACTATAGAACAGATGCTGATGATTATGATGATGACGATGATGATTGGGAACGTTACTGTGAGGTTGAGGAAGTTCCATCCGACATTTTAGGACATGTGTGCACAATTATGGAAGGAAATGAAAGTATTGACAGCAGCAATACGTCAATCAATGTAGACAACCTGAATATCATTGAAAAAAAAAATCCAATTTGGACGATGCAAATATATTGACGAAAGAAGAAGAACTCAGTACAAAAGAAAGAAATCATGGTAACCACAAAGTAAACCATTGTATTAGTGAAGTCGAAATGGTTAACGATATTTCTGCTGAACAAGGATGTTCTACCTGGAAAACAGAAAATCCATGGAAACATAAAATTAATGAAAGAAAAAATACAGAGTATGCTATTTTTTACAAACCTTCAGATGTTTACGCTGATTGTTTTCTTCGAAAAACATATAAACGTCTTTTTTTATTTCTGAATGAAATTACAAACTTATGGACGAATGAGAAGACCCGCTCTCAAAAGCATTCTTTTACATATCAAGGAATGCAAAGTAATTTTATGCGCCTAAAAGATATGCTTTTAAAAGTTTACTATGTTGATGATGAAGTTTACCTTATGACGAGTTCTGACTCCGAATGATTAGAAACAAAATTTCCACGAGGACGAAATTATACATGTAATGACTTTCGTGTAGTTTACCATATTCAACAATCATAATGGGATACTAAATGACTAAATAGATGAGTATGACTCAATAAGTTAAAAGTTTAGGATTGATATAAAATATTTACAATTGTGATCAGAAATATGAAACATAAAAATACTAGAACTTTTAATCCGCGGCTTTCTGAATACTGAAATAGTTACGAAATTGTGATTCGGACATGTCCACAAAATCTACAATATCTGAAAGACTATTTGTGCAAAGTCACTTCACACAAGATCCAGCCATTTAAACTCTGTTCCAAAAATCAAAAGGATATATTCCTCATTAATGCAATCAATTTCTGGAATACGCTTCCTGGTTCATTAAAGTCATTAAAAAGACCATAGCGTTTTCAACGAGACTTAAATTATATGTTAAAAATTGTTGAAGTGTGAATATCGAAATAACATCTAAAAGAAAAGGTAAGCTTTTGTGGCATTTTGCTCGTCGTTTTATACATTTAATCAACAGAGACGTTCTTTAAGAGCAATTTCATGCAGTTCTTGGTAAGATTTTAATTTATAAGTGCATTTTGAGACTTTTCGCATAGGCTTATATGTTAGTTTTATCTTTCATATTTTTAACCACAACTTGGTGATATAAGATCGGAATCTTATGTGAAAAACATTATGGTAGCGTCATCGACGTATAGGAAGTTTACAGGCAGATAAGATACTGATGGACATATCGATGACATAGCATTAAATAGCAATAGTCCTATAAAAGAGGGACGAAAGATACCAGAGGGACAGTCAAACTCATAGATCGAAAACAAACTGACAACGCCATGGCCAAAAATAAAAAGACGAACAGACAAATAATAGTACAGATGACACAACATAGAAAACTAAAGACTAAGCAACACGAACCCCACCAAAAACTGGGGGTGATCTCAGGTGCTCCGGAAGGGTAAGCAGATCCTGCTCCACATGTGGCACCCGTCGTGTTGCTTATGTTATTACAAATCCGGTAAATAGTCTAATTCGGTAGGTCACATTCGTGAAAATGGAAGGGTATTGTAGTTACGACATAAGGAAGATATCCGATATCATCTGCGAAACGGTTATTCCATAACGGTCAACCAACTCGTGATGGCGTCCGTAAAATTAACGAAGGGATGAGTTTAACTCCACCATTTGGAACTCTTGGTTTAATAGCTTCCTTGTGAGCAGCAATCCTCTAACAAGGATATCATGATAGGAAATACAAGCCCGGGAATATCGTATCGATTGGGAGATATATACTCCGTATGCAGGCGCTGCTGGAATGTTGCTACATAGAAATGGAAAGTTCACAATTGGGAAGCTGAAATCATCTCTTTTGTCGAGAAGTTTTGTTTTCAACCGACCCTCATTGTCAATTTCTAGATGCAAGTCAAGATATGAGGCAGACTTAACTGTATCTGTAGTGTCCTTTATCTCTAGTTTGATGGGATAGATTCGTTCAACATAGTCACCAAATTTTGTATTATTTAGTGAGAGAACATCATCTATATAGCGGAACGTAGAGTTAAAGGATATTGCTAACTTCTTATCTTTCTTCCTAAGAAGTTCCTGTATGAAGTCAGCCTCATAATAATAAAGAAACAAGTCTGCACGAAGAGGGGCACAATTGGTTCCCATTGGAATTCCGACAGTTTGACGAAAAACACATCCTCCAAACGTAGCAAATATGTTGTCAATCAAGAAATCAAGCATCTTGATAATGTCAGTTTCAGAGAATTTTTTGTTTGAATCAGAGTGATTCTTTACAAAGTAGGATTTATCCCTCCTCAAGACAAGATACTAGTATCTACGTTCGCCATTCTTTTTAATGAAACAAAGTAATACCAACTCTTTCAATTTGTCTTTTAGTTTGGAATGGGGAATACTTGTGTTAAGTGTTGAAAAGTCAAATGTTTTAATACTATTGCAAGATGAGAGAGTCTTAGATTGTATGTACTCTAAACATACAAAGGAGTATATAAATGATATAGCAGAATATGTATTCAAATATGGTGTACAGACAAAAAACCTAACCTTTCTTAAGACAATATTTGATAGATTTGTAATTTATGAAACCAGGGTTATAAGCTTAAATTCCCCACTCGAAGATAGTGAAGAAGGAGACTATAGAACAGATGCTGATGATTATGATGATGACGATGATGATTGGGAACGTTACTGTGAGGTTGAGGAAGTTCCATCCGACATTTTAGGACATGTGTGCACAATTATGGAAGGAAATGAAAGTATTGACAGCAGCAATACGTCAATCAATGTAGACAACCTGAATATCATTGAAAAAAAAAATCCAATTTGGACGATGCAAATATATTGACGAAAGAAGAAGAACTCAGTACAAAAGAAAGAAATCATGGTAACCACAAAGTAAACCATTGTATTAGTGAAGTCGAAATGGTTAACGATATTTCTGCTGAACAAGGATGTTCTACCTGGAAAACAGAAAATCCATGGAAACATAAAATTAATGAAAGAAAAAATACAGAGTATGCTATTTTTTACAAACCTTCAGATGTTTACGCTGATTGTTTTCTTCGAAAAACATATAAACGTCTTTTTTTATTTCTGAATGAAATTACAAACTTATGGACGAATGAGAAGACCCGCTCTCAAAAGCATTCTTTTACATATCAAGGAATGCAAAGTAATTTTATGCGCCTAAAAGATATGCTTTTAAAAGTTTACTATGTTGATGATGAAGTTTACCTTATGACGAGTTCTGACTCCGAATGATTAGAAACAAAATTTCCACGAGGACGAAATTATACATGTAATGACTTTCGTGTAGTTTACCATATTCAACAATCATAATGGGATACTAAATGACTAAATAGATGAGTATGACTCAATAAGTTAAAAGTTTAGGATTGATATAAAATATTTACAATTGTGATCAGAAATATGAAACATAAAAATACTAGAACTTTTAATCCGCGGCTTTCTGAATACTGAAATAGTTACGAAATTGTGATTCGGACATGTCCACAAAATCTACAATATCTGAAAGACTATTTGTGCAAAGTCACTTCACACAAGATCCAGCCATTTAAACTCTGTTCCAAAAATCAAAAGGATATATTCCTCATTAATGCAATCAATTTCTGGAATACGCTTCCTGGTTCATTAAAGTCATTAAAAAGACCATAGCGTTTTCAACGAGACTTAAATTATATGTTAAAAATTGTTGAAGTGTGAATATCGAAATAACATCTAAAAGAAAAGGTAAGCTTTTGTGGCATTTTGCTCGTCGTTTTATACATTTAATCAACAGAGACGTTCTTTAAGAGCAATTTCATGCAGTTCTTGGTAAGATTTTAATTTATAAGTGCATTTTGAGACTTTTCGCATAGGCTTATATGTTAGTTTTATCTTTCATATTTTTAACCACAACTTGGTGATATAAGATCGGAATCTTATGTGAAAAACATTATGGTAGCGTCATCGACGTATAGGAAGTTTACAGGCAGATAAGATACTGATGGACATATCGATGACATAGCATTAAATAGCAATAGTCCTATAAAAGAGGGACGAAAGATACCAGAGGGACAGTCAAACTCATAGATCGAAAACAAACTGACAACGCCATGGCCAAAAATAAAAAGACGAACAGACAAATAATAGTACAGATGACACAACATAGAAAACTAAAGACTAAGCAACACGAACCCCACCAAAAACTGGGGGTGATCTCAGGTGCTCCGGAAGGGTAAGCAGATCCTGCTCCACATGTGGCACCCGTCGTGTTGCTTATGTTATTACAAATCCGGTAAATAGTCTAATTCGGTAGGTCACATTCGTGAAAATGGAAGGGTATTGTAGTTACGACATAAGGAAGATATCCGATATCATCTGCGAAACGGTTATTCCATAACGGTCAACCAACTCGTGATGGCGTCCGTAAAATTAACGAAGGGATGAGTTTAACTCCACCATTTGGAACTCTTGGTTTAATAGCTTCCTTGTGAGCAGCAATCCTCTAACAAGGATATCATGATAGGAAATACAAGCCCGGGAATATCGTATCGATTGGGAGATATATACTCCGTATGCAGGCGCTGCTGGAATGTTGCTACATAGAAATGGAAAGTTCACAATTGGGAAGCTGAAATCATCTCTTTTGTCGAGAAGTTTTGTTTTCAACCGACCCTCATTGTCAATTTCTAGATGCAAGTCAAGATATGAGGCAGACTTAACTGTATCTGTAGTGTCCTTTATCTCTAGTTTGATGGGATAGATTCGTTCAACATAGTCACCAAATTTTGTATTATTTAGTGAGAGAACATCATCTATATAGCGGAACGTAGAGTTAAAGGATATTGCTAACTTCTTATCTTTCTTCCTAAGAAGTTCCTGTATGAAGTCAGCCTCATAATAATAAAGAAACAAGTCTGCACGAAGAGGGGCACAATTGGTTCCCATTGGAATTCCGACAGTTTGACGAAAAACACATCCTCCAAACGTAGCAAATATGTTGTCAATCAAGAAATCAAGCATCTTGATAATGTCAGTTTCAGAGAATTTTTTGTTTGAATCAGAGTGATTCTTTACAAAGTAGGATTTATCCCTCCTCAAGACAAGATACTAGTATCTACGTTCGCCATTCTTTTTAATGAAACAAAGTAATACCAACTCTTTCAATTTGTCTTTTAGTTTGGAATGGGGAATACTTGTGTTAAGTGTTGAAAAGTCAAATGTTTTAATACTATTGCAAGATGAGAGAGTCTTAGATTGTATGTACTCTAAAAGATCTTTGGAATTTTTTACTATTCACATCTGGTTCACGCCACCTCTAGAATAGGCAATAACTTTGGAGCCCAGCTTTGATTGCTGATAAAATAGATGTTAATAATTTAGAGAGAGGTTTCGTGGAGCACTTGGAAGACCCAGCAATATACCGTTGTTTGTAAGGACACTTGTGTAGTTTAGGTATCTACTGTAAGAACTGTTGTGCGTTTGTTTTTTCTACATTGGCTAGAGGTATAGGCGGGGGGGGGGGGGGGGGGGGGGGGGGGGGGTTGAGATCTCAAAAAACATGTTTAACCCCGCCGCATTTTCGCGCCTGTCTCAAGTCAGGAGCCTCTGGCCTTTGTTAGTCTTGTATCATTTTTAATTTTAGATTCCTGTGTATAATTTGGAGTTTAGTATGACGTCCATTATCACTGAACTAGTATACATATTTGTTTAGGGGCCAGCTGAAGGACGCTTTCGGATGCGGAAGTTTCTCGCTGCATTGAAGACCCATTAGTGGCCTTCGGCTGTTGTCTACTCTATGGTCGGGTTGTTGTCTCTTTGACACATTCCCCATTTCCATTCTCAATTCTATTCTTTCTGTGTAGTTTAGAATTATTTCTGTCTGTTATCTGTGGTGAGTAAAGATGTTTCTGTCTGTTGTCTGTGTTGTGTAAAATTGTTTCTGG